AGTGGCCGCGCTGCCAGAGAACACGGCTGCGGTCGTGCGCGCGCTGAGCTGCACCGTGGTGTGGGAGGGATGGGGAATAGATGGGAGAACGATACGTGCTCGGGCAACTGTGTTTGAAGATGGGAGGCTGGCAACGATGCCCTCCTCCCGCAAAGAGGGTTTTGCTTCCTGCTTCCTGGATGCTCAGTGTGGAAAGAGGGAGGTAGGGCGTGAGCGCAGCGCACCGCTGCTTTGCTTACGATGACAAAAGCGGCTGGAGGAGAGAACAGGGCTCGCCCAAGCCTCGGGCTAGTTCAAACAGCCTCCAGTGTTTTGTGGGAAGAGACAGAGCTCACAGCCTGGCACCAGCAGAGCCCCAGATCCCAGAGTTCAAAGAGCGTAGCACTAGCTCCAAGGCCTGTACTCACAGGATCTCCAAGCCGCAGCAACAGCTGCTGGAGGATCAACAGGTCCCGGCAGATGAGGAAACGGATCGTGGCAATCTTACAAACCCCCCAGCAAACCACGCTGACAGCGGTACCACTACCATACAGCTGGGCGAGGTTCATGCGCATATTTAGGTGATGAGCTGAAAGATAAAACCACCGGGTAAGGGGAGGAACTCGAAGGATGAGAACGCTTGCCGAGCCGCCGCTCTCCCAGCCCAAACGCCCGGCTGTTAGAGCTTTCACCTCTTTCCATGTCAGCGTCCGTCTCGTAGTCCATCTCTCGGATGAGCACTCCGATGGCATGGATGGGGTTTCTGATCTCCTGCAGTTTGCTGTGTATATCCTCCATCACGTTTTCCCTGCAAAGTGAAAAGGACAGTAATAATCATAATCAGCAACGTGAGGTTTAAACTCCAGAGGGCTCCCTTTCCTCCCTCACAGACCCTCCCTGGCAGGGAGTGTATCTGATCAGCCTGGACATTCTCGATGGGAATCCTCTTCTGGCTTAGCGTTTCATTACAGCGCCTGCAGGGACCAGTCTATTTATTCCACTCCCTCAGGCTACCAGGAAATAACAGTCAGATAGCTGGCATTCCACGGGGGAGTGATTTCAGGAGGTTAGTGCAGCAACCACACGGCTTGACCAAGGCTCTGACCTCTACCTAGCGGCTGCAGGCACTTGCTTTCCACACTGCAGTGATCATCTAACAGGAACTGGTTCCTGTTCTGCTCTCTGTTTCACCTGAGAATTGCCAACAGCTCTTTTCCAGAGGGCTCCAGGCAACAGCAAGGGGGTTCTGGATGGAGACCCTGCTAACGTCACCAATACCCACGCTCCCCATTTCCGAGGGGACCTGGAAAAGTCTCCCGCTGCACAGGGAGAGCCCACACATCCCAAAAGCGCTTCGATGCCAATCAAGCACAGCTCCAGGCAAGCCCTGCTCCGCCATCCCTGCCTCCCTGCAGGGGAGCTTCTGCCAGAGCGTCTCCTTACGTGTCATTAGCTATCAAGTCCTCCAGGATCTGCTCTGCAGCCTTTTCTGGAGGCTGGAGGCGGGAGCAAGCCATTTCCATGATGAATGCCATTTCCATGGAAATTGATTCTCCGATCAGTCGAAGGCACTGGACAAGACAGACAACATCACGAGACATCTCCAAATCTGCAATGAAAGAATCTAACTGTATATTTACAAGAGATTTCAAAGCGAAGGTGGGAGGACCATTCAAAAACCAGTTAGTTCAGCTCCTATCAGCAGACTACTAGCAGCACATTGGTCTCAGTCCCGCATCTCAAATTGACCCTTCCCTGCTAACTAAGAGGCCAAATTAAAACTGAGGAGTTGACAAGGGAAAGATTTGGGCTTTATTATTTGGAGAGTAACAAATACCGATGCAACAATAAAACAATGAAATTCCCTCCAAGGGATTTTCTCCAGCCTGCAGGTTGAAAGGAAGTCATTAGTGCAGCCTAAGAGCAAAAAAACCCCAGAGCAAATGGCTCAGCTCGCTGAGCTCTGCCAAGCAGAACACGCTCACGTTACAGCAGCTACCCATCCGCAGCACTGCCTCTCGCAGCTGAGAGAGGATTTTCACACTCTTAGAAGGGAGGATTTTCACATTCTTAGAAGTGATATGTAAATTCACTACCGAGACCTTAAATACAACCCTTTACACATGCCTTTTTAAAATTCAGTCACATATTTTGAGAGGTTTGAAACAGACAGGGCAGGAACTGCGAGCCTCCCAAACCCAGCCTAGGCCTCCAGCTTTCCTTCCCTCGGCGCCAGAAATAGCTCAACCAAGTGGATGACGATTCTTCTTTGCAAAAATATAAAAATCACTCGAGCATGAAAGTGGAGCTTAGGTAACATTTTCCGTTGCCTTTTCCTTGTGAAACGTCATTCCAGGGCCAGCAAAGCACAGAGGGCACCGTGGTGACAACATTAACGGCAATTTTTGTGCACACTGGCGTTTACTTCCCGGAGGCAGGAAACGGCACAACCCCTCTCCATGGCTTACACGAAAACATTTATGCAAAAACATTTCACTAAAAACTAAGTTTGTAGAACTGGGTAGCTGAGCCCAGGGTGCTTGGAGGATCACAAGTTTCCTTCTCGTCTGTAATCGCTGAATCGCTGTCAGAGTGGGTCTGTGGCTCTGGTTTGGGATTCTTTTGTTTGGGGATGGCAAAGCCGAGCAAGCACCCAGTTAAGCAGGGTTTATCTGAGGGGGGGAGGTCACCCACACGATCAGAAACATGAGCTGCTGCATCCCGCTCTCCCCGCCAGCTCTGGGGACCTGCCAGCACACCGTGGAGCTCCAACCTGGCAGCTCCACCCCACAGACAGCGGGCACGAAGAGGGCACCAGTTAACCGCAGCCTACACAGATAATCTGTGAGGCCACAAGGGCGAAGGATCCACCAACACAGGTCCTTGTCACTGAGCAATACGCAGGCTGAAATCTAGGATTCCTCCTTCTTAAGCTATCTGAAATGAGTCACGGCAGATTTGCAGCCTTGACACCATTTTCTGATTCCTGGTGTGAGCACCGTGGCAGGTTTCACAAAATAAAAATGCCAAAATAAGAAAACTGTCTCCATGTAGACAGCTATGGAGCTAAAAGCACTTCAAGAGACCTCTATGTCCTGCATCCCCCTGCCCAGGGCTTCCCCGACACGCAACGCTTCAGCCTCCAACAACGAGAAGGCTCCATGCCTCCTCACTTACCATCAAAGAGCGCGGCGTCATCCTCAGCCAGGAGGTGCTCGTTAGAGAGGAGATAGAGATGGTCCACCAAGGAGCAGGGCACGAGGAATGACAGGGAGCCCTAGAAAGGTGAGGAGAAAGCCCTTCTTTGAGCTCCCCAAATCCATACCCGAGTCAGACAAGCTCCTCCCTGGAGACCACCGCTCCCGTTGGCCACAGCGGCCAAAGAGCCACCGCAGCCCAGCCTCACCTTCTTCAGCAGGCACACCATGTTGGTGTAGGGATTCAAGTGCAGGGCCAGGGGCCGTGAGAGAGCTTCCTGGTACTGAAGGCAGCAGGCATAGAACTTGGACCAGAACTCCACCTGCAGCTGCCAAAACTCCTCCAGCGAGCACTCGTACTCTGTCACGCTGCCCTGGAACTAGCGGGACCAAAACAAGATTTCAGACGGACACAGGCAGCAAACCAGGGAGAAAAATTGTAGCGTTCAGGCTGCTGTCTTGTCTCTCGTGACCAGTGCCACACCCTTACGTGGTTATGGTTTCTAAACACCAGTTACAGTTCTCTCCCCCACCACCTTACTGTCAAAACATAAGTTTTTTCCTACAGCAGTGACTCACACAGCAAACAGCAAGGGGAACAAAGCCCACAAGAACCTTTTCTACACAGCCTCAGGTAAAGGAGCACCAATGATCTCCAGAAAAAGGGCAGGGCTGCAGATCTCTTAAAATATCATGCATGAAGGTGGTTACTGACGATACAAAACTGCCTTTTTTATGAACTTTCTAGCAATAACCTGAGCAGCCTGAAGGACGAGCCGCAAGTGAAGGACTGCTGGCTTAGAGAATCAGGCGTATCAGAGTAAAATCTGGAAAAGGAGGATAAAATGGGGGAAATTCAGACCCAAAAGCGCAGCCAGTTGGTATTTAAGGCGGGTCCCCTAAGCAGATTTTCTTCTGGGGTCCAAAATTACGAGCAACAGCTCTGTGCGGTGGCGGCCAGCAGCCACGCGCAGGGGGCTGAGAACGGGCACCACGTGATGTGCGACCAGCAAAGCGCGCGCCCCGCGAAGCACACCCAGGGAGCAGAGACCACAGAACACTAAGCAAGGACTCAAAAGAGGAAGGGGGAATGGAAGAGCCAGGCAGGTAGGATGAAGATTTGCACTTTTTAAAAAAAAGTCACGTAACTCCTGTGGAGAGATGAAGGACACACAAGGCCTGGGGTCACTTTGCATCTCACTTGACTTCGCCGAACCATCACAATACGCACAACGAAGGTAAGAACAAGACACGGGGCAGGGGGAGCAGCCTCCCCTGGCTCTCCACAGCTAAGGTAACCTCTCTTCTTAACTCATCCCACGTCAGATCCAGGTGTCTCTCAGTTCCTTGAGAAAAGATCTGAAAAGCAGCACAGCAAACTTTTACTTGGAAGCAAGAGAGCCGTCTCCCTGAGGTGCAGGCAGCACCGAGTGACGTAAAGCAAACACGACAGCACTTTATGGGATAAAAGTATCAAAAACCAGGGCTGGCTGCTAAATGTGGGGTACGTGGACGTACAGCCAGCTTCCCTCTTTCTGTGGAAACGGAGGAAGCCTCCTGGCAGGCAGTGCACTGGGATGCAAGGAGAGAAGCGCTGCACACCTTCACAGCAGCTCTCTTGTACCTTGCTCCAGGCCTCCACGAGGTCACAGCGCCGAGAGCCAAAACGGTCAGAGCAGCAGAAGTTGGGCTTTTCCATTTTTCCTGAAAAGGCAGCACGCGTTGCCTTGCTCTGCCCTTAACAGCCCTCAAGGAGCCAGAACTGAGCGGATATATCCCAAGAAACAGCACTACAGTGGGCTAAGTCTCCCTTCACCTGGCTAAAGCAGCAGGCAACGAAAAGTAAGCTCAGCAACCCGCTGTCCTAAGGGAAAACATCTTCTGGAGACCACACTCTGCCTCCCGCCGCCAGCACGCACCCGGCTGAAGTACGGCACAACAGCTGCCAACCTGCTTCAGTGACTACTGCTGGACCTACAAACTGCCAGACGCAAACTGACTGCCAAGAGCTCCAGAGAATCCTGCTGCCTCACGCCGAAACGGCCAGGAAGGAGAAGCTGCACAGGGAGAGCACCAAACGCCCTCTCACCAACCTGCAAAGCCTTCTGGATAGCTGCGTTTGTGAACCGGCCAGGCATGAAGAGATACTCCAGGTAGGTTTCCTGCAAAGAGGACAAGACAGCAATTTAAGGAAACACACAGGTCAGGAGGAGAGCATTGAAGATACTGCTTCTGGTCCTTCCTCCCTTTCTCAAGCTCATCCCCTGGACCTGTACTTCTTTCCAGCTTCAGCTCACACCCACAGCCTGCTCCAGCCTCTCTCCTTCCAACCCCTTAGCAGTTCCCGTGATGGAACACTGCTTCCCGCTCGCTCCAGATCTTGTTTATCCACGTGTCTTGTCTCAAGGCTCTCTCTTGGCTGACTTGAAATTCTCGTCATCCCTCAACTTCTGGTCTCATAACCATGCTGAGCGCTTTGCTGCTGTGGTTACAGAGGCTAAGGCTTGTCCCCTTTAATTTGGAGTAATTCTAAGACTGCATCAATATCATTTGTACACTTGAACCATCTTAACGTTCTCCTCCTGGGCAGAGAAGCTTCGTTATCTCTCGTTGCTATTTCACAGCCAGCTCACCCTGGGGTCCTGATCGTGTCGAACCGTCACTTCCTCTTCAGGCAGCGGCTGCACAAAGACCTGGTTCCACTGGCCCACGACATTTCTGGAAGAAGAACAAAACCAGGATCAGCTTCGCGTTGCGGTGCTCCAACACAGCGCGCGCGGGAGCGGCCACCTGAATCAAACCCGCCCCTTTCACCGGCGATCACAGACTTCACGGCAACCACGGCCCTTTGGGTCTGGTAACGGAGGAGCTTTGACTAGTGACAAGCGACAGGGGAGCTTAACAGCAGCACCCCCAGCCCTGAGCTAACAGAACAGGTTGGATTCCTGAATTTACACCAACTTTCTCCCCATCACACGTGCTCACCAAGCGACTCTCAGACTGACCAGTAGATTCTTCTG